CATCTAATGCTTAAGGAGATGAAGATTGTTAGTCGAAATTCGTCTTACTTTTTAATTTAACAGAAGTGTCTCAAGTGAATGGTATATTTCTGCTTCTGTCACGAGCAAGTAGAGAATATGTAAATGAACTCCAAACTCCCACCACGTGACACGTCGGTACACCAGCTGCCACTGACTGCACATGTGATCGAAATCACGAAGGAAGCTCCTGCCATACAACTTGGGGAAGGAGCTGGTGGGAAGTGACCAGCAATTAGTGGAGAAGAAGCCATGCAGATGAAATTACATGAACACGAGGGGAAGTGTGTGAACAACGGCAATGAAAAAAACATTACCCCTGAAACATCCCGTGATGTGGAACGGAACCGCAGGGCGAGGATGGCTTTCGGGTGCTTCCGGCTGGGTTCACATATCCTGGTAACACGATACAAGCATGTCTCAATCATGCATCATACGGCAATGAATTCCTTTACAATATTGACCCGTCTAGCACGATGAGAGTGGAACCTGTTTTCCAGCTTATATTCTACTTTCCTTATAAGTAATTAAAATCATATCCGCCTTGATAGGTTAAGGCACTGTGCTACAAACCGAAAGGGCGTAGGTTCGATTCCCGATGAGGTAATTTAATTTTTCAATTTACCTTATACTTCCAGACGTACGCCTTGAAGGCAATTCAGACTCTGACAGAAATGAGAACCAGGAATCATCCTGGGGGTAAAGGGCGGTCGGCGCGTAAAGCTGACAAATTTACCGCCATGTCTAAGCCGATTGTTTAGAATNAATTTACCTTATATTTCCAGCCGTACTATTGCCCTGAAGGCGACTCAGCCTCTGACAGAACCAGGAATCTTCCTGGGAGTCGGAGATTAAAGCTGACAAATTTACCGCCATGTCTAAGCCGATTGTTTAGAATATGTGGCGGCCTCAACGTCTCACAAGCCTATGGGTCTCCACGGCCTCTTACAAGAATAGTTTTACCGTTTCAACCGTTGCGTATATTTTTCGATTTATTCTCAACCTTGCCTTTTTTGACTGGGCATGGAAAACGACTTTTTTTTTCGGCTGATCGCAATTGTTCATGTAACATATTCGCAGTTACCCTCCATAAACCCAACTTGAAGACAGGCCACTTCGTGGTAACAATGGGCGAAATTAACATGGTAGCAAATTTTATACCTCGTTTATAAATCGATAGTCGAAATGACCTGCAATTAGTGGAACAGTTGGACAATAATCTCACTCCGCAGTATCGGAAATAACTTCGGATATGAAATTAGCACCCAGTTGCCCTAACCACTCACATTATATGGGTCTTATGTCAGTAATGAGTATATAGGACAGTTCCAGGTGAAAAATATTTTAAATCCAATAAAATCCAACAAATTCTTAAAAAGACAACCACAGTTTTCAGATCGAGCATGTTGACATTGTGTCACGTTTGATCGACACTTCAGATTTCTTGGCGTCAATAAGAAAATACTGAACAGTTTTCTTGATAATGTTGGACATAAAGTAATCCATAACGGCATGAAGTTTAATGTGAAAGGATATAAGACAAACAAAAAGAAAATAACAAAAAATATTGAGGGCATAAGAACAAAAGCGATATGAGAAAAAATGATGTACAAAATATCTAGAAAGCTTTAAGGGAACAAAACGGGTGATACGCTGAAGTGAATGGGGACTGATGCATTGTACGCATTCATTTCGCAAAGAGCTTCCATATCTCCTCTTCTTGAACCCCAGTGGAGCCCTCGCTAACTGCCCCATCTTTAGCTGTTTTCCCCGTTGGTGTAACGCACTTAATGTAATAGGTCAGATCCAATATTAAATTATCTCTGTTAAATAACCCTCTTCTCTTACTGTTTCCACCCTCTAAACTACTTAACTTTTAACAAACATTAATATATGACATGAACTATTCTGTTCTGCTAAATTTAGTTTCAGTCCCTAAAGGACTACTAAAAATATAGTAAGATTAAATGGCTTTCTCTCATAATGGGTTTGTAAGAACATTAGAATTGCTATGTAATGTGAACGTTGGAAGGAAATAGGCTGGAAAACATGAAACCAAGAACTTCACAATAAGGAGCTGGTGTTCTGAAAATTTCACATTTTATGCACTTCAATTATTTCTGTAACAGGGTCCAATGTTTCAGGCCCTCAGCAGGCTCTTCATTGAAGCAGATTCTACGTTCAAACTTATTAAATAACTAACTGCATGAAGCGGAAGTTTTCTTGAGAAGCTGTTGGCCATTCAGATAGTTAAGAAATTCTCTGGCTTTTGTTGAACTCTAAATTGATTGCCATCTTCAAAAAAGCCTGCAACTGGCCCTTATCCACAGTCACGTGACACAGTCCACACAATCATATACTCTTTCCTTAAGATTCTGTAAATATTATCTTCCAATCTATGTCTACACCTCCAAAGAGAAGTATTTTCTTCAAGTTTTCCTTCGATCAAATTTTCTACTCCGATTCTTGTTTTGAACACGCACGTTGAATGCTTCCCCAGCACCACAGGAAATCAGTAAAAATATAACTTTGAGTATTTTAATATCTATATTATTTAATGTCATGTGTAGGGGTGTTTGCGCGACTTACAGTAGGGTTCTGGACTAGATAATTGGATTTACTGACGTCATGTCCACACTCACACATCTCGGAACTACAGCGCTATCGCTATTCCACATACTTTGCAGTTCACCGTTACACGCGCACTAATGTACTCAGCGTTCACTAGTCGCAAACAGGCAACGGATTTTTAACAGTCTCACTGTCACTTCAAATCACATGAGAAGTCTTCTTTGCACAGCCTAATTCCTTTCTTGCCACTATTCTGCAACTGCCAAACCAATTCAGTTCCTCTACTCCCAAGCAGGCTACCGTACCGCAACTCGACTCGACTACTCTCAACTGAAATTTTCTTTAAAATCGCTTTGCACGGACCACGCAGAAAACACAGCCCATATCTTGATGGGAAGGCATGTTTACGGCGCCGTTGTATAGCAACGGAAGTTGCTTGATTGTTGCTTGCGGATTCGTTTCTGCGGGAATGTGTTTGCCGACTCGTTGCCTAGCAATGAACGTCTATTCTGACTTCACTATTCCGCCTCATCGGGCGTCATATCAGAATGTATTATCGTCAGCGCAAACTATAAGTGATGGGCACAGACAAAAATGATTAAAGCATTTGAATGGAATTGCCGGTGAGAATACACCGAAGCAGATTCTATAGCCGCAGCCATAAGGAAGACGAGACCAAGGAAGACCTTGGAAAGAATGGAATGAACTGTCTCCGTTAAGCAACGGTTCGGTGAACACATTACCGTACCAACGAAAGGAATAATATACAATACTTATTATGTTATTTAAAAGCTTAAAATTCATTTCCAGATTTATGGACTTCAATGTGAGTTAACGTCACAATATATCTCCAAGCTCCTTGTAGCTAACGCCTAGGGGCGGACTGGTCTAGTAATCAAATTCCTTAATGGACAGTGCCCTCAGAAATTGATTGGCTGGTGTGATTCGATCCATGGCTTCTAAACTCACCTGCCACTTCAAGTTATGCAGCTTAGAACTGAATTTATGTTCCATAACTTTCTTGATATATGCAATACATCTCAGAAATATATATATATATCTCAGAAAATATATCTCAGAAAGAGAAACAAGGTCTTTAAGAAGAATGTTAAACCAGAACAAGAAATTAAATTATGTCATGGGGGAGGCGGGTTCTTGAGACTGAGTCTCATATTCTGCTTGAGACAAATCAGTTCAGTTAGCATTTGTACAACTTAGTTCCCAACTCCATTTTAATATAATAATTGAATAGTCTCCTATGCAATGGATACTGGGGACTCTTTTCCCGGGTGTAAAGTCGCCGGGACTTGAAGCTGAATACTCATCTTCACCTAGTGCCGAGGTCAAGAATGTTGGAGCTACATTTCCACCCCTCCACACGACTTAATAGAGTAATGTTTATTTAATTAAGCACAGGGACAACTTTATTTAGCTGGCCCTTCCATACCTCAGGTAGTTAGTCGCCGGCTTTCCCCCCACTGCGGCCCGGGTTCAAGCCCGGGTCAGGTTATAATGGGACTTGTAGTGAATAAAGTGGCATTGTGGCAGATTTTCTTCGAGTTCTATTTCCCCTGCCAATTCTTATTCAACTGATTGTTCCACAATCATCATCCTCTATCACCTGGGGCTGGTACAATAGGCAAAACGGTGACCGACGTATCAATTGGACTCAGTCTCACGCCATGAGAGAAAAGTCACCCTTCAGATTACATTTAGACGTTTCAAGTGGTCGCTTTTCTCACTACATAACCAAACTGCAGCGAAAATTTGTTTCCTTGTGTCCCCGCATTTTCCGACCGTCTCCTTTTTAGTTCAATATCCTCAGATGTAGAGTGGAAATGAGGGTGCTCTTGGTTATGCAGTATTATCTAGTTTTAGAATAATCACAAAATAGCTACTGTAGCATTGAATTATTATTCAGCTTATAGACAGCTCAGGAAGCTATTTAACAAGACTGACCGAGCATAAATCCCTATATAAGTCTCTGTGACCCATACATGCAAAACTGCCTAGACACAAATCCCTATATAAGTCTCTGTGACCCATACATGCCACGGTCTCAATCCAATGTTTCAACGATGACAGGACTGACTGGGAATATCCACTAGCACATGTGTGACTGTGGTATTTGTGACAACTTTATTTTTGTTGTCATTGTGAAGAACCATAAAACACCTACAGAGTATGTAACTACCCTCATCTACCCCAGGGTGGGCGATCGATTTTAATTATCTAAGTCTTAATGTGTGGAGTATCAAGTTTATCCATTTTACCTCCCAAACGGCATGTGGCGATCTGTCAAGCCACAATGAGGCTTCTTCCGCTACAAGTTAGAGACCATTTTACTTCATTTTATGGTCTTGGCTATAAACCGCAGGGAGGAAATGAAAATAAATTGCTGACCTTTTGGGCTGTGCTCCTGTGAACATCCCTGTTCCCTGCTAGAAGTCATTCCGTGTGACAGGGAACAGAGCATAGATGTAACTCCCGAGGGGTGAAGCATTAGAGCTAACGGAAAGAATTTCTCAGGCCTGTTGCAGCCCTGGCTGCTAGGTGCTGAAAATAAAATATAAGAATGAGAAATTATCATATACTCAAGGATTACGCGTATTTAACAAATACGTTATTTGTAAGTTGGTATTCCTCTGTGGCATTTATACTCATGTACAGCAGATAATATTAAATTTTTTGTTTGTCTTCTCCATCTTCTATTGAATTATAAGGAAGATATAAAAAAGTACATTTTTATGTCATGAAACAATTACAACTTTGCTCGAAACCTTAGAAGAGAAGCCAAAGAGATTATGACATACTAAACTATCTTCGTGGAGCTGAGCCCATTTTGAGAAACCGTCAGCTCGAGAACTTCCCAGCATTTTATGGAACCAGAAGATTCACAACAGCCCTCCACTGGTACATATCGTGAGCCAGAATAATCCAGTCCACACCACCCTATTTCTCTAAGAGCCATTATAATATTAGCGGCACGCTGTAGCGTAGTTGGTTGAGGCACTATTCTACAAGCCGGAAGGTCGCGGGTTCGAGTCCCGATGAGGTGATTTTTTTCAATGGATTTAATCCTACCAACCGCACTATGGCCCTGGGGTCAACTCAGCCTCTAACGGAAATGAGTACCAAGAATCTTCCTGGGGATAAAGAGCGGGCCTCCGTGGGCTGTTAGAGGGATAGCTTTACCTTTCTTGTCATTATTCTTATGTATCCACCTACAGACTGATCTTCCTACTGGTCTCTTTCCTTCTGGCTTTCCTATCAATTTCCTAATTGCATTCCTCTTCTCCCCATTCCTGCTCATCCTCCTTGACTTGACCAGTCTAATTATATTCGTAAAAGAGTAAAATTATGAAGCACGTCATCATGCTATTTTCTCCAAACTCCTGTCAAGCCTAAGAGACACTCAACATAAATTGACCCCGAAAACATTAAAGTTACCCAACATATAAATTCGCATCCTTTATGGTATAACGCCTCTCTCTGCAACTGAGTCTACCAAGCCGACTATTGAGAAGAAAATCTTATAAAGAAACTATTGATTAGCCTCAGATTGTTGAAGTGCCGTGTAAATGGCTTCAGGGAGCGAAGTACAACAACAGAGGCGATAAACGATATCCATTGCTGGATATAGGACTAATATACAAGCGGCTATAAAATATGAGACAAGAATGAAAAGTGTTTTCTATGTGGTCCGCGCCGAGACTCTTTGCCAGGCAACTGCTAGATAACATGCCTCTAGAACAATAGATGGTCTGTGTTTTCTGTGCAGCTTGGTCCGTGCCGCTACTTAATAAGGTAGACAGTTTGAAGGAACTCGACACCAACCCAAAGAGAAATGCGAGCAGGGGTGCCACAAGGTTCAGTCCTTTCCCCTACTCTTTTAAATTTGTACATAAATGATGTCCCCCAAGCACATGGTGTTCACATGGCTCTCTTTGGGGACACCTGTCTGTATGCGACAGGTCGCAAGGAGGGTTTTTGCTGTTAGAAAACTCCAGCGGTGTCTCAGCTCAATGGAGACCTGGTGTGAGCGTTGGAGTATCAAAATTAATGAAGATAAGACTCAAGGGGTCTACTTCTCTCGTAGTTGTCGACCTTCTGAGTCTTGGCTCACTCTAAATGGACGAAATATTCCATTTGTAAATAGTGCAAAATATCTAGCTGTAATCTTCGATAGGAGAGTGACTTGGAGATTACACACAGAAATGATCGAAGCCAAGGCCTTGAGAACATTCATTAGAGTATATTCCCTATTCAGAAGTGAGCGTTTGAGTGCTAATATTAAACTGACCCTCCACAAAGCTCTCATTAGATCCGTAATGACTTATGCTAGTCCCGCCTGGGAGTTTGCGGCAGACACTCATCTAGTGAAATTGCAGCACCTGCAAATCAAGGTTCTCCACACCACCGGCAATTTTCCAAGGCGCACACCGGTCCGCGATTTGCACATGACATTTAAAATCTCATACGTATATGAGTATATAACAAAATTATGCAGGAAACAAGCAGAAGTCATACAAAATCATGAAAATGAGAATGTTCGCAACATCGGACAAGGCGAAGCCAGACACAGAAAGTATAAGAGGCTTAAACTTGGCGGCGGTCAGGCATACGGCCGTTCAAGTGACTAGACTGCCGTGGTAGCGAATACTACTAGAAATAGGGCATAGTCTGCTGTACTGAGCCTGGATTGATAGAGGCCTTGTATATATTGTACATAGAAATAGGAATTAAGATTAAATTTGTAAATATATGTAAATACTGACGATGGACTTACTAACACAGACTATGTCTGGCAAATGACAGACCCGAACTCTCGTCAGAGATGGCGCCCCAAATGAACAGGACAGTAACTTTCATATAATGAAAAAAAATAATCTGGTCATGAGCCCCAGTCGGGGCTCCAAACCAAGACAGACAGACTGACTGTCAGTCGCAATGTGACTTGGACTTGGAAGTTTACAACCCCGTGTGGAGGAGGGTTCGAATACCTCCACCGTGACCCTGCGAGCCGTAAGAGGCAACGAAAAGGGAAGTCTCAAATCTGAGACAGTAAAATATGGTCGCAAGTCCCAAGGGATTCGGACCCGAGAAAGACTGCACTGACAAGGGCCAGCAGCATATACAAAAGACAGACCCATCCTCTCGTCAGAGAGGGCGCCCCACAAGAACAAGACCATAACTGTGAAGCGGTGATAATTAATATCTGCTCATGAGCCCCAGATGGGGCTCGACACCAAGACTCACTGACTGACTAACCGTCAGTCGCAATGTGACTTTGACTTTGGAGTAGTCAATTGTCGGTAGGAGATAACCACGAGATGATAGTAGCTGAAGAAGAATTAGAAGTCAGCCAGTGTAGACTTAACTTGTAATTATAAGAGTTAGTCACAGTGAGAAGGTTTTACCAGGAGACGACTAGTGCAGACTGAGAATCCTAGTGCTTGTGCAATGGTAAATGCTAAATTGTGTGAATCAGCGATGACGCTCTATTGCTTGTGAGCATGACTTGAGTGTATAAGATGATAATCCAATCATCAAATCTAGAACCAGTTATTATTAGTCACGGAACTCCGGAAACGTGACAACAAATTCCAGTGGAATTCTTACACAATTAATACAAAATATTTGAATCAGAAAATGGCTAATTAAGGCCATAATTCGAGTATATTGGGCTCTGAGAATATTTAATCATCACAAACTGGATAACATGATGGTAATTTTTAATTTATCTTAACATAAATAGCGCATCGGTAGCAATGATTTCTGTAAAATAATTATTCTTTATTTAGTTACCCTATTGGTGGTACTTGGTGAAGAGCGCAAATTGTGGAGCTTATCGTGCTCTGCATCAACGCCTTAACATTGACGAATGTAAAGATAAATACAAGGGTAGAGTCAGGTTTGCCGGTCACGGTAACCGAGCGGTCTAAGGCATGTACTGTCTTCGCTCGCTTGGAAACTGGGATCGTGGGTTCGAATCCCACTCAGGGCATGGATGTTTAGTTTGTGTGTGTGCGTTTTTCTGTGTTCGTATACAGGTAGAGGCCTTGCGACGAGCTGATCACCCGCCCAAGTAGTCCTACCGAAGGTGTAAGATCTAGAAAAACCGAAGTGAACGAAGAAGTCCATGGAGGTGGGCCTAGGCCCACTGGGGCTGTAGTGCCAAGGGAAAAAAAAGCAGAGTTGTCCGTACGATTAATAAACCGTTACGCAACGAAGAGGAACAGTTGAACGGAATATTTCTTCTTCGCTCTCAACTTCGACTATAGAAGACGACTAGTGTTCAGCTTCACGCCCCGGCCGTCCTATTCTCCATCACAAATTTAATAGGAGTCAGAGTCGGGGCCTGGCTCTGGTTCAATCTCGATGCTTTGGAGAAGAGAGAAACTTTTTGCCCTGCCGGGGATCTAGCTCCGGTACCTCAGCCCAGTCACTATACCGACCAGTGTAGCGGTAAGATTTACTGCTTCTACAAGTACATATGACAGGATAAGAGAAACTTTTTATGTGGTAACAAAATTTGTATTATACAGTAGTAACCATATTACTAAAAGACAAATTCTTTTCAATTTTCTCATAGCTGAGGAACATTAGTCTTCTGGTTGGGGGAGGAACTTATTTTTATTTTCTCTTCCGTATACAGCCTCCAGACGCCTGTAGCTGGAAATCATCTGTAGCATAGCTGGAGCCAGTGAAAGGGATACGGTGCAGAACCGAAACCGACAAGCACAGATTACGGGTGTCACAGGGCAAGAGAAACGGTTCTGCCACTCTGAAGCTCCGTGCAAGAGGAAAGTTATAAATAAATATTTCAGTAGTCTCGAGGAGCTAACAACAATGTGACTATGTTAAAATGTTCTTCTCTTTCTTTTATAAGAAATGAGCCAAGTAAATACTGACCGTTTCAAAGCAGTGCTTTATTATTACTTTTAGAACCATTTGTCTTCCCGTCTTATGCCGAATAACTTGATGATTAAAGTATTCAGAACAGTCACTTTACACGATGTTCTATTATTGAAGCAGAATTAATTTCCTTTCCAAAAGCGGATAAGACAGATTAAATATGTTTGAGGGCAGGCTGCTAGCCACCATAGCAAAGCCAAACATCTAGAAAATATAAACACATATTTTCCACCACAACAAAATAGAACACAAGAAGAAGAAATATAGTAGAACACACAAAATATAATTTTCAAAATATTTTAACAAGAATCCAGGAGTCGATATATTGGCTGGACGGTTGTGGTTCGATCTCTGGCAAGGCAACGTCCAGACCGGCTCTGGGCCCCATCCAGCCTCCTATACAATTTGTACCGACGGTGATTTCTTCGGAGATAAGCCGACCGGGGCGTGAAGCTGACCACGCACCTCAATTTTGTACCGAGGTCAAGAATTATGGAGCATTACCTCCATTTCCCCATATATTTTCGGACCATGGTGCTTAATTCATTAATCACATGGACAATTTTGCTTTTTGACAAGAATCCAACTTCTTTTTTAAGCTTTTAGCCTTGCCATTTTGAGTGCCATGACATATTAGA